ATAGTTTCCAAATGAACAATACCTGACGTTATCAAATCATGCATGGGTAAAAGACCCATTCAAAGGGCAAACCAGACCATTGCATTTTAAAGTGACAGAGTAGAAAGCGTTCATTAACATGGTTTCAGATTTTACATTGCAACAATGCTTACCCACTTGTCAATTTTTCATGTAATCTCAAAGAAGAATATCCACAATGATCTGAAAAGGCTATTAAAATACTACCCTCCTTTTCCAGCTACATATCTGTGTCAGGCCAGATTTTCTTTATTTGTGTTCACCAAAACAAGATATGGCACCAGATTGAATGTAGAAGCAGATAGGAAGAGTCAGCTGTCTTCAAGTAAGCCTGATATTAAGTAGATATGTAATCATGCACCACAATGCTGTACTTTTTATTAAATGTCTTTCTTGTGGAAACTATAATTTATTTTTATAAAAATGTTATATGTTAACCTGTAACAGACTTGTTATGGCTTCTAAATTACTGAATAAATAAATATTTGTGCAATTCTTTGGCTTTAATTTCTTGTGTAGTAAATACAAGCAAAAGTACTTTAAGGTCTTTAATAATTTTTAAGAGTATAAAAAGAGTCCTGAGACCAAAGAGCCCGAGAGCTGCCAGGCTGTCACACAGTAGGTGCTCACTAAATAGCTGTGATGCCCAGGCCTCTGGGGATGATGACAGGCCAGGCTGCACAGTGCTGATTTCTCTCTGGTTCTCTGTTCTTTGCAAGACTGGTGTCTGATCAGCCTGGTCATCCCCTCCTGTGGTTCTAAGCAGGGGCTGCACTTGTCGATCTGGGACCTCCCGTAGGCTGAGTTCTCCTGCCTGGTTCACTCTAAGGATGAATACCGTGAGCCTCACATCCACATTCCAAATTGCTTCTGCAGCCTGCACCTTCTAATTCCATTTGTTTCCTGCTTTTTTCTCTGGGCCAGGTTGGGAAGCCTACGGAATTGCTGAGACAGTAATTTGCAATTAATTGAAGAAATATTAGAGGTCAAGTCTGGGGCAGATGTGGGCTCTTTTTGAGAATGGACTTTTTCAGAATCAAGCAAAGGCAGACCACTCACCACGTGGGGCTTATTCTCTTGGCTGGGGAAGGATGTCCCCCTGCAAGAAGGGAAATGCTGATCCCGCTGTCCTTGCTGGAAGACAGAAAGAGGTGGGAGGAGCAGTGACCCTTGCCTGATACCCAGTAATCCAATCTCCCCTCTCCTTCCTCTCTCCTTCCCTGACTGATCCCTGCAGGCCTGAAAGAGAACATCTTCCCTGGACAGGCTGAGTGGCTGCCTGTCATTAGAGCTGAGGCCACGATACACTTGAGGGAACAGTAATGGGACCTGGGAAAAAAGCTAATTAGCTAATGTAGTAAAACGTATAAATAAAGAAGCCTAACAACCTTCAAGGCTTTCTGAGCTTGTGGAGGTTGAGGTGACCCCGGGGCTTTGGTGCCACCTGGCCCTTTGTGAAGGTCTGAGGTGCCCAGGCTTCCCCTACTGGGGTCTCAGTTGGGAAGGGGCTGCCAGTTAGATGAGCAGGTGGCAGCTCTGAATGTGATGAGCGCCTTCGGAAGGGGTCTTAGGTTGAGTTTTCCAGGAAGCAGACTCTGAGACGGATGGGGTTTTGGGGAGTAGACATGAGACGCTTACCTGTGATGGGGTGCAGGGGCAGGGCTGGGCAGGGGGAGCAGTGGGCAGTGATGCAGCTGCTACTGAGGCCTCAGCTGGTCCCCTGGGAGCTCAGCAGCCGGGGTGGCCCTATGGAGTTGGCTTGAATAGGAGCAAGTTGTCTGCACTATGTCCCCCCATGCAGCTCAGTCACGATTGTAGCTGCCCCCTGGGGCAGATCCAGAACCTAAGGCCACACAGTCCTCTTCAGCCTAGTGCCAACCCCAGAGAAGGACTCAGTGAACAGCCACCAGCAGCCAACATTCCCAGAATCCAGAGAAACGGGGCCTGGGTCCCGATGGGAGATCTGGAAGCCGCACCATGGCAAAGCTCACAGAGGGCAGCTGGAAGCCATCTAAGAAGACCTGGAGCAGATGGATGAGAGTCAAAGCCTGCAAGAAGCTGGAGACAGCAGGGACTTCAAGTTTCATTTTAAGAAGAAATCAGTATTGTTTCTAAGGAATCAAAGGAAACAGAAGGCATATCTGTTGAATGAATGTTTGAATGAAAAAATGAGTAAATTAATGAAATCGTATATGAGAATTCGGGACATATGGAGGACAGAACTTCTCTTGGGCAGATAGTCAATCATTCTGTGCCTCAGTTTTCTCGTCTGAAAAATGGGAATAATGACAGCACCATTGTGACGATGAAATAATGTAACACAGGCAAAGGCTTATTACAGTGTCTGAAGTACAGCAGGAACTCAGTGAGTGCTACCCACTAAGGTTGCTTGGTGGATGCTGCTGTTGTAGCAGTCCTTGGTCATTGTTATTACTGCCACACTCAGTGCTCACCACCATGGCAGCACTTAGGTAACCATGAGCTGTGGGGCTTAAGGTCTCCCAGGCCACAGTTGTAAGCCAATGGTGTATGGAAAACCATGGAGGTACACATGTAGTGGTCTCAGGTTTCAGATGGGACTCGGTTTCCCAAAATGGGAAGGGGGGATGCTAGTAGTATCTGGAGTTTCTTCAGGGACACAGATAAAACATTAAAGAAAGTTGTTCTCTTATTCAGTCCCCTCTCCATCCTTCTGATGAGATCAAGGAGAGTCTCAAGCTGGTGCTGGAGTGTCCCTAATGCCTCTTAACACTCGTGATTCTCTTTACCCGAGAGAGAGAGAGCAGCCTGCAGACTCAGCATCTCTCCAGGGCAGCAGAATCTGGCTGCATTTCAGTAGCATTCTTTTGCTTTCAGTGTTCTTATTTTTACGGTGGTCATCTATTTATAGCGAGTGCAACCTATTTTCCAGTTACCATTGTGAGAGATTCTTTTTCACCTAAATTCTATAAAATAAAAAGTGGTGAGTTGACTTAAAAAAATGTGAAATAAATAAGATCACAGTTTGTATGTGAATATAGCAAACATGAGGAGGGGTTTGTGTGAATAATTGAGATCTGGGATGCACTGGCCTTCGGGACAGACAGGAAGTGTCAGGGAGGCAGAACTGATGGGGGCTAGAATCAGTTCCATGCCTTTGGCTCACAGTTTATGCCACAGACAGTGGCCTAACCTTCTCATTTCTGTGTGGCTCAGTTCTGACACACATTTGCCATCCCAGCTCCAAGGCCACCTCCTTCACAAGATTGCCCGCATCCTTCCCACCTGAAGGTCACCTCTCTCCTGTCTATTCCCACAGCACTTTGGGGGCAGTATGCCTTTTGTGTTCTATTGGAACACAGCACATTAAATTCCAGTCATTTGTGCCTAGCAAAGCAGAGATCATATGGCAGGTACTCAGTGAATGTTCGCTCTGAATCTGCATCTCACTAAACCATGGCCAGATGACATGCATGTGCACTGATTGACCTGTTGGTAGCCGGAGGTAGAGACCTCAGAGGAGTGCAATGGGAACCCCAGCTGCCAATTGCCCAATCTCCCGGTGATTTAAGACTTTACAGTTACAACACTTATCTCAAGCTAAACTTGCTGGGTGGTGGGCATGGGGGTTGGGGGGCAAAGGTCAGAGCCAGACAGCCACTACCTGTGTTTCTGCGAGATGCCATGGACACCTAATGGACATGGGGGTGCATCAGAGCTGATGTTTGCAGCAGCTCTTATCCTGTCCCCGGGAGCCATCTGCTTTTATCACGGTCACCTTGCTTCCCCCTCCCCTTCTCAGGACCCTGCTGAGTTCCCCCTCCTCAGCCACAAATGATCAGCTGCTCTGCACTGGTCATGCTAGCAGCCGACTTCAAGAGAGAGGATCTCTGAACTCATAGTGTTCTCTCAACATGATGATTGCCTTTCTTCTGTTTCCACTTAGAGAGAGACAGTTTGGCTTGGTGGAAAGCTCCCCAGGGGCCTCTGATGTCACACAGACTGGGCTTTGAAGTCTGGCTCCTCCACTGATGGCTTTGTGACTTTGGGCAAGTTGCCTCCCCTCTTGGAGCCTCAGGTTTCTCATCTGTGAATGAAATGGGGATCGAAGTCCCTTCCTTCCAGTTGTGCAGGTGCACCTGCTCCACAAAGCCCTGGTTCCTTCACCTGCTAAGCTCTCAGGTCGTACTGGGGTGGAGGGCGGAATGCTAAAGGAGAAAATGCTAAAGGAGAGGTGTTCCTGTTCCCATTGTAATGGGTGCAAAGGAAGAGCCAAGCTTATTAAAATGGAAAATCCAAGATTTGTGGTTCTCACATGTCAATGGGCCTAAGCCTCATCTGAAGGTGCCTACTAGAATGCAGATTTCTGGGTGCTGATTCTAGAGGTTCTGGGCAGGGCCAGAGAATCTGCATTTTAAATAGCACCCTCTGGCATTCCACTGCATGCAGCTTCCAGCAACCCCTCTGAGAAGCCCAGCTCTAGATTGCAATGGAGGACCACCACTCCAAATTGAGAAAATTTTCCCTAAATATCCAGATTTCTGGTTCTTTGGAAGAATCTGAAGCATTGGCAACCCTGGGCCTGCTTTCCTGCTTGACAGCAAAGGACAAGAGCTGAGTTGTACCTGCTTCTTTTAGATGAGGCTGCTGTCTCCAGGACCCTATTTATTTAAAGTCCTGGCCTAAACCCTAGTGCTGTTTGTGACCCCTGACAGGTCAAGTCCTCTAGCCCCACAGATTAGGAGACTAAAATCTGGAGGCAAAGTGGCTCAGGTGTGGACAGCCAGCTGGGGATGGCCAGGTCAGAGGCGGGCTCTGAAGAGCTGCCCAAGCAGCACGCTGCAGCTTGGTAAACCAGAGTGATCCCTGAGGCAGGGAGAGGGCTCCGCGTGAGCACAGGATGGGAAGGTGAGGAGGAGGGAGGAAGCCCTCTGCAACCAGTCCTCAGGAGCAGGGGCAGTTGATGGCTATTTCTATCCTCGCAGAGGATAAGCCTCCCTGACTCTACAGAAGCAAAGTCCAGAGATGTCCAGAGATGGGAGTGGGGGAGAGAGAGCCTCGTTGTGATGTCACCTGAGCTCCTGGGTCCAGCTTGTTTCATGAGCTGGTGAGTATCCGCCCACCTAGGGTTGCCAGAGAAAACAGGTTGCCCAGTTCAATTTGATTGCCGGATAATAAGTATTTTTTTTTTTTTGAGACGGAGTTTCGCTTTTGTTACCCAGGCTGGAGTGCAATGGCGCGATCTCGGCTCACTGCAACCTCCGCCTCGGGGGTTCAGGCAATTCTCCTGCCTCAACCTCCTGAGTAGCTGGGATTACAGGCACGCGCCACCATGCCCAGCTAATGTTTTGTATTTTTAGTAGAGACGGGGTTTCACCATGCTGACCAGGATGGTCTTGATCTCTTGACCTCGTGATCCACCCGCCTCGGCCTCCCACAGTGCTGGGATTACAGGCTTGAGCCACTGCGCCCGGCCAATAAGTATTTTTTAATACAAGTATGCCCTCTGCAATATTTGGAACATACCTATACTAAAAAGTTATTAGTTCTTTTTTTTTTCAGACAGTCTCGATCTATTGCCCACGCTGGAGTGCAGTGGCTCGATCTCAGCTCATTGCAACTTCTGCCTCCCAGTTTCAAGCAATTCTTCTGCCTCAGCCTTCTGAGTAGCTCGGATTACAGGCACATGCCACCACGCCCAGCCAAGGTTTTCGGGGTTTTTTTGTCTTTTTAGTACAGATGGGGTTTCACCATGTTGGCCCAGCTGGTCTTGAACTCCTGACCTCAGGTGATCTTCTCACTTTGTCCTCCCAAAGTACTAAGATTATTAGTACTTTTTTTTTTTTTTTTTTGCTGGGATTACAAGCATGAGCCACCATGCTTGGCCAAAAAATCATTAGTTCTTAGTCCAAAATTCAAATTGAGCTGGCATTCTATATTTTTATTTGCTAAATCTCACAATCCTCACCTCACCCCTCCTTTGGGCTTAAGCCAGCCTGGTTGGGCTTCCAAGTCTTGCAACCAAAGGGACCTCGGTAGAAGCAGGCAGTTGTGCAACTGGGGTCCAGGCAGGTGGCTCAACTTGCCCAGGGTCACAAGGCCAGCAACTTAGAGTGGCTGGATTAGAACTCAGGTCTGTGGCACGGTAACCTGTGCTTCCTCTGCGACCTGACCTCCAAGGTGAGAGGATGGGACATGGCAGGGAGGAAGAGATGTGTGTGAAGCTGATGCAACAGAATTGGGTTTGAACAGAATGTGGAACAGGGAGGAGAGAAGGGGACTGGGACTCACAGCTTTGTTGACTGAGAGGTGACATTACTTTTTAATATTATTTATTAATTCACTCATATTTATCAAGCACCTACCAGGTACAAGGCATGGTGCTTATTTCTCTGATATCTGAAATGGGCTGATAGCATCAGTGTTTCCCCTTTCCATTTTACAGACTGGGAGAGTGAGGCTCAGAGAGGCCACAGATCTAGGAGCCTCAGGGCCTAGGGTTACATCCTAGGCCTCCTACCCAGAGTCCCCCACCACTGCCTGCCAGCCCACATGGAGGCCAGTCTGCTCCAGGCCTTGTTGCATATTCAAATCCAACCTCCTCCCCTCATCTGAGGAAAGCAATGCAAATTGGAATCACTAGTGAATGTTCAGTCTGTGTCCACCTTTGGCAGGTGTGTCTGTCCTAACATATGTGATGTTTAATTCTGTGGCCCTGTGCCCTGCACCCTGGACACAGCTCTCCTTGCAGGACCCCAGCCACATCTTTCTGCCTTGTGGGATAAAGGATGCTTGGGGCGGGGAGGTGGGGGTGGGAAGGGGGTAACAGGAGCTCAGGGCTTCAGCAGAGCCGGAAGTTGGATCCAGGCCTCTGGTGCCATGGTGACGGTTGCTATAGAAACTCACCAGCTGCACTCAGCACGCCTACCAGGATCTGTGGGGGTTTTTCGTAGACTGAAGCCAACAGAGAGGGGGAACTCTGTAGTGGTGAGAGCCCTGAAATGAGAGCCAAACCTCATCTTGGGGCTGCCGTTCCCCGTGTCTCCATCTCCATCCCCTGCCATCCCCCTCCTGTCCCCTCCTCACTCTGTGCAGTCTCCAGTGATGGCAGCTTGGCTGCTGGGCCCTCAGCCTGCAGTGCCCTTTCTGGCTTCTTCACTTGGCTAATTCCCATGCATCCTCCAAGCCTCATTTTAATGCTGTATTTCCTCCAGCAAATACTTACCAAGTGTCTACTAAGCACTGGACACCATTCTGGCCACCAGGGACACAGCGGTGACCAAGAGTGACCCTGCTCTCATGGAGCTGCCAGTCTAGGTGGGAGTGACACAGGTGTCAAGGGAGCACCTAAGTAAATGAACAAGAACACATTCAGGCGATGCTGGGGAGAAACAAAGGAGGGCAATAGACAGGCAGTAATGGGGCTATGGAGAGTTGGTGGTCGGGAAAGCTGGGTCCCAGCAGTGGCATTGTCCTGCCTGAGCCCTGCAGGTCTCCTCACCTCCATCTTATGGTTCCACTGCATAGATTTTGTCCTTGAATCATAGCACTGATGACCCGAAAATGTCACTGCTCGTCTCCCAAACTTGTCTTCCAAACAACTGCTTCCTCTTTGAAGGCAGGAGCGAAGTCTGCTTTGTCTCCGTGTCCCCTGTGTCTGGCAATAACAGGGACTTTCACGGAGTGAAAAGTGCACATTCACGGAGTGCATTCCGTGGGCCAGGCCATGTCACCAACAGCTCTCATTTCCCCTGCATGTTGATTCCATGACATAACTATGATGTGATCATCACTTTAGAGACTGAGGAAGCAAAGCATAGCCACGGTTAGCAACTTGCTTCAGGTCCCACAGCCAGTGTGCTGGAGGTTTGAGATTCAAACCCTGCTCTGTGCCTTTCGTATGTAATGTGGCCACAGCTTTATTAAGATATCATTCACATACTATACAATTCACCCTTTTAAAGAGTACATGCGAATGCTTTTTCATCTATCCACAGAGCTGTGCAAACATCAGAACCATCCATTTTAGAACACTTGCATCAGAAAAAAACAGGCTCATTTCTCTAGCGGGGGCCCCGACCTCAGCTTTGTAGGAGGACTCAAAGTTCAGAAGTTGGCTGCAGTTGTAAATTTAGAGCTGAAGGTTTCTGTGTGGGTTGCCTGCCTTTTTCTTGACATATCAATAACCAACTTTTTGCTTATTGGCATTTTAAATGTGTAAGCTCTGCTTCTCTGAATTAAAACCCCAATTCTCCACTGAAAATCTCTAAACAACCTACAGGCAAATAATTCAAATTCCAGGAGAGCCTTCAGAGGGCTTTCTTAGCTGGAACATGGGGTGTGCTGACCATGGGCCTCTCAGAATGCCTGGAATTCCCCAGACCCTGTGTTTGTAAAGCCCAAGGCTTTCTGGAAGCCTGACTTTGTGGCATGTGCTGGCACAGAAGGGGCTGTAGTCGGGGGCCCTGGGGGCTGTCTGCACCCAGGACCATGGTGCCCTCCCCTTCAAGAAGGGTCCTTGTCCAGTTTCCTCATATGTCCAGCTCATACTTGAGACAGTCACTCATCCCCAGGCCCTGTGGGTGGAGTTGCCGATCAATTTGCCCTTTTCTCAGTTTGAAGGTGGAGGGGGCTCCATTGTCCTTAATTTTCACATCTTCACCCTCCTTCAACTAACCACAAGTGCTTGAATTTCCCCTCTGAAGATACATTTATTAAAGTGATGAAGGGTAACCGGCATAACTTTTTCTCCAGATTGGTGCCCAGAAGAGGCCACTTATGTTTTTAACCTGTGCGTTGAAGCCCCATTGCCTAATTTAGCAGCATGGTCTGCGTCTCTCTCCTGGCCTCAGCGCTTCCTCCCTTAAAATTAAGCAAGAAACGATCAGTCTGCAGGGGTCAGGCTGCAGCCAGAGAGAGGTGCAGTGAGCTCTGGAGGGCCCCATCCTCTCAGATCCTTTTGCTCATGACCCACTTTGCCTTCTCTACCCTCAGCCAGGATCCTTACACACAGGACAGGAGCCAAACCCGGCCAGGTGAAGCAGAACAGTATTTCTTAAAGGCCTGCTTATTGGGTAGCTCCCAGAGTCTTTGGGAGGGCTACAGAACCAGGCATGGAGTCACCCAGGCAGAAACAACTTCCCAAACCACACCGCAGAGCCAGTCCTGTGATGACACAGCTGTTCCTCCACTGGGCAGAGACACCACACCCTGCATCACCAATTATACCAGGGCTGCTGCTAGTATTATTCGTTAATTCACCCATGAAATATTTATTAAGCAGTGTCTCTGACCAGTGGAGGAACAGCTCCTTGCCGGAATGGATTCTGTGAAGGCCCTGGTTGCTTGCGTCACCAGTGCCCACGCTGATGTCCTGAGAGGGGCATGTCTGATTGAAGAAGCCTAGTTCACGTGCCATCTCCTAGCCACAAAGGAAGCTGGGAAGTGAATGTCAACTTTTGTAGCAGAAGGAGTCTCTGCCCATTGTGCAGGCTCTTGTGGTGGAGAAATCCCCCCAAAATAAGCAGCCCAAACAAATGATCTATGACCGCCATGGCTTCTGGGGAATTTGTCCCCCTCCTCCTTGGTGCCCTCTGACTTCTGTGTATCAAAGAATTTGAAGAGGGACAGACAGTGGCTCCCAAATAAATCCTATATTCCCCCAGGGCAATGGGTGTTTCCTTGCCTGGGATTTCCATAGCTAAGATGAATCACAAGTGACGCTGCCCAAAATGGAGACGTCCACTCCAAGATGACCATGCAGACCCAGGTGGGAGGGGCTGTTCCCCAAAGGAAAAGGGGGCTGCTGTTTTTAAAAGAGGGAACTCTAGGCAGGAAAACAACATATGTTCACCTCAGCTGGGACATCCTGTGGCCACGATATTAGGAAATAAAAATAACACATTGAAGGAGACACAGAGGGGTTTTCTTTAGAAGGATGTGGAATGCAAATGGCCCGACGCCTATCCTTGCCCCCCTGTCCCCACCATGCATTCCTTTTCCTCTCCTCCTGGCTTGCAGAGGAGGCCTTTCCCCATTCCTTCCTACGTGGTCCAGGGAAGGCTTTGATGCCCTCATGAGGTTCTTTACTCCTTGGGAAATGCTGTG